TTAGGGCTTAAGCAGTCAGATTAGGGTTTCCTAGCTGTAAACCCTAATAGCCTACATGTATATAAAGGACCCCTATACCCCAAAAACGTGGCTAAGTGTTCCTTTAGGGTTTCCAGCCATTTTTGGTGCCTCCCCTCTCTTCTCTCCTTCATCCAATTGTTTAGTGGTGTTTGTGACTCCATTAGAGGTGCAACACTTGAGGCACTAAGCTTTCTGAAGCCAATCAAATCAAGGAATTGATTGTTATTGCTATATAACAATCAAAGGTAATTACTAAACCCTTATTTCAGTTATAGTTTATTAGATCTAGGGTTTATGGCTTTGGATTATCAATTGCATGTTCATTAGAAAAACTAGATCCAAAGCTATTAGGGTTTGCATGTACACCATAGGATTGATGTATTGCTCAAAACCCATCAGGTTTGAGGGTCGAAAAATTTATTGAAAAAAAAAACATGGTTTAAGTCCCAAAAAATGAAAAAAAAATGGTTCTAGACCGTGAGTAATTCGTGTATCATACCCTAATAAGTTTCTCTTTGTTCTTATTTTGTGGAGTAAATTACATGGATGATCCTTTAGCTTTCCAGTTTTTCTCTGATATGGTCCCTACGAAACTTTTTTCCCTGAGATGTTCCATATGGAGCAAACCTTGCACACAGAAGGCCCTTATAACTAACTCTGTTAACAGATTCTGTTAAGTAATTGTAAATGATGAAAATATCCTTTTTTCTTTGTACACAAATGGTCCTTTTCTTTTTTTTTTCTCTCTCTCTCTCTCTCTCACACACACACACACTCTCTTTCTCTGGTCTTCATCATCCTTAGCTCAGGCACCAATGGTATATCCACTAGAGATCCAGCAACACAAACGATGGGGAAATGCTCCCCGTTTATTGTCTGATCGGAGAAGCAGAAAAAGAAACACAAATGGAAAGCATCGATCGGGAAGCTCTGGTGGTCAAGCAGATTGCGAGGAGGAACAGCCGACCTCCAACGACCCTTTGTGGTGCTTTTCTCGTCGTTGGCGACCACCAATCGAGGGGAAAAGGAAGCAGCTGGATCGAAGGGTCAAGGAGCCGCCGAGAAAATGAAAGGAATGGTCACCGGTGGTTCTGTTGATTAGAGTATGAAAAGGGAAATGTGGCAGTTGGTGGTTTTCGCATCGACGACGGTGCTAGCGAGGGGCTCCTCCGACAGCTCCCTCATTGGTTCTTCTTTCTTTGTCCGGCAATAGAACGCAATGAGAAGGGGAGGCAAGGATCGAGCAGAACAGAAGCATAGGATGTTTGGGGTGATGCTACTCGGCTGGAGAAGGAGATGGAAGGGCCAGATCGGAGGCAACAACCTCCTTTCTTCTGGTTCGTTTTTCCGGTGACCAATCCTTTCGGCAGGGCTGTGAAGATCGAGGGGGACAACAACAGCCGTAGGGGGTGTTTGTGGAGCTAGATTGCGATAGAAAGAGGAAGGAAGGGGCAGTTCCGGTGGCTGACAGCCTCTTCCTTGGCCGGTGGTGAATAAAAACAGGAAGGGGAGAGAAGTGAAGGTAGAGAGGAGTGATATAAAGAGAGAGAGAGAGAGAGAGAAGAGAGAAGGGCCCTAATTTTTTATTTCAAGTTAATAACATATTAAAATAAAATATAAAAAAATAAAAACAAAGGGCATTTTCGTCTTTTCACATATACTTAACAATATATTTTAATAAAGTTAGTCATAAAGACCTTTTGTGTGCAAGGTTTGCTCCGTAGGGACCATATCAGGGAAAAAGGTTCCATAGGGACCATATCAGAGAAAATCTGGAAAGCTGAAGGACCATCCATGTAATTTACTCTATTTTGTGTGAAAGTCGTGGGTAATGCCGTAATATGTTACCCACAAATACAATGGCTCGTTTTATAAGAAACTAGGCGAATGCATGCGCGTTGCACAGAAACGCCTATATAATTGAAATCTTACAAATATATGTTTTTTTCTTAAATATAACAATAAACGTTGTTAAATTTGATATAATAATTTGTATACTAAATTGATATAATATATTGATTATTTTGAATTATATGATAATATATACATCTATTATTAGGATTGTCAATTCTGGACACGACCCGCGACACGACACGAAATAAATGGGTTTGAGTTGAGTTATTCAACCCGCCAACCCGTTAACCCGCCAACACGCCAACCCTTTATAAACGGGGTCATTATGGGTTCTCTCAAAAAATAAACGGTTGACCCGCCAACCCATTTATATTTTTAATTAAAAAAATTATTTTTTTAAATGTATTTATGTATCAAGTATTAATATTTAATAAGTATTATATAATAAATTACTTTAACACTTGAATTATCTATGTTTGTATTAATGTTTAGTTTGAACATGTTTCTATGAATGTTTTAAATCTTCATTTGGATGTTTAAGACTTAAGTGTCTAAAATTCGGATATGTTTGCATCAACCATCAAGAATTTATTCATATTTAATTGTCAATTTTATTTATGGAATCTGACCCACGAACCCGCTAACCTGTGAACCCATATAAATAAATGGGTTGGCGGGTCATATATGGGTTTATGTTCCAAACCCGCCAACCCGTGACCTGTATATTTAAATGGGCCGTGTTTGGGTTGACATATTTTGACCCGCCAACCCGCCAATCCGCGACACGCCAACCCGAACACGACACGATTGCCAGACCTATCTATTATAACTGTATAATCTCAACCGTTTGAATGACGTCTACTCGCGAGTTACTAATGAATAAAATTAAATATGATATATGATTTAATATTATTTATTGTTGTTGTTATTGTTAATTAATTTTTTAAAATTTATTTGCTTAACGTTTTAATTTCTATCATTATAATTATTTAAAACATCAAACATTGTTTTTCGATTTTAAGGTAACATATAATCATTTATATAGAGTTATTTTAACTATTATTATTGTAAGTTATTTGAAGCTACTTATTTGAAAACTTTTAACGATTATACAAATATCTTTAGGAAATATGTAGGTTACAATTCAGTTTTTGCATTTAGCATTACAATTATCACTTTTAACTATTCACAAAATATTCATTGAGTTTTTTAAGTGGAACTAAAATTTATATTTAAGTTGACACGGTAATGTTATATTTAAATTAACAATTTAATTTTGTCCAAACTGTTCAAAAGTTGTAGCTTTAAATTGATAATGATTTACATACAACAACATATTAAATATAACAAATTAAGTATAATCTGTTAAAAATTAAAGACATAACTTTATAAGTAGAAGTAAATATGTTATTTAAATATTGAAATTTAGTTTATTTATGATTATACTTTAGGTTTGATATTTATTTAACCTTATTAACCAACTTATAATCATTATTAGAAAGACACTACAATTTATCACTTTTAACTATTTACAAAAAAATATATGGGTTGTTTAACTTAAACTAAAATTTATATTTAAGTTGATCCTGTAATGTTATATTTAAATTTATAATTTAAGTATTTTATACAAATTGTTCAAAAGTTGTAGCTTTAAAATGATAATGATTTACACCCAACAATATATTAAAACTAATAAATTAAGTATAATATGTTAAAAGTTAAAAAACATAACTTTATAAGTAGAAAAATATTCTTTTAATATTGAAATTTAATTTATATATAATTACACTTTAGATTTGATATCTATTTAATCTTATTAACCAACTTATAACCATTATTAGAAAGAAATTGAAAAGTCATGAAAGTTTCAAATGAATGTGGTGAAAAGAAAAATACATGAGAGTTTCAAATAAATATGGTGAAAGAAAAAATGTTTCATTTATAATATAATATGATGATATGATGATTACCATTTTTCTAAATTTTATCCACAAATTACCCACTGATTTTGAAATACGTGGGTAATGGCCATTTTTTTCCCATAAAATTTTCTCAAAAAATATTTCGTGTGTAATCCATCACAATTTGCTTTATAAATTAAGGTTTTTTAAATTTTGGGAAATCCATGGCATATATGTGGGTAATTAGCTATATATTTAATCCGTGGGTAATTTTTGTGAGTGATATCATATTGTATAGTAGTGATTGCTATGTCAACTATATACAAGAACTATTGTCGAATCCTGGAAGCCTAATCATTTAGAGATTGAGATATATAGGATGTGTTCGACACGAAGCGTTTGAGAGCTTCTAGCTTCCAGCGTTCGACAAAACGCTCCGTTTTGAACAGAAAGCTTCGTTCGGCACTACAAGCTTCTAGCGTTTAGTTTAAACAAAACACTCCAAATCCAAATGCTACTTCATGTAGCGTTTAACAAAACGCTACAAGCTACCCGCTACAAGCTACCTGCTACAAACTAATTTTGCCGAACACGCCCATAATCTCATGAATGATTTGTTAAGCACTATAGTCTCTATCATGAGGACAAATTTGACCATAGAATTGTAGAGTATCGGTTACATAGGAGCATATACTCTATCCTTAGGATGCTAATAAAAAAGAAACTAGACGGTTGAAAAAAAAGCATGCTAAGTATGTATTGTCAAAGATGACCAACGACGATCTATTTCTATGTCAAAATAATGTTTGGATATAAGAAGAAACAATGTGAAGTGCCATTTATTATAAGATTATGAATACTATATAAACTTCTAGATATATAAACTTCTAGAGGGAGTTACTTGATACCATATCTAACTATATACAAAAAACTATAATAAAGAGGAAACAATGTCAAGTATATTTCTTATAGATTATGAATACTATATAAATTACTAGTTACTTCGAGACCATATCAACTAAATACGAGAACAATAATAAAGAAGAAACACTGTGAAGTGTATTTCTTATAGATTATGAATACTATATAAACTTCTTGTTACTTTGATACCATATCCACATTAGTTTCCATTCATGCGAAAGCATGTTCTAATTTTTAATGGGGTCCATTATGTCATTTACACATAACCCAGGGGTTGCGATATAATTTTTTCTTGCAACAGTAATTTCTGAGAACTGTTGTGTAACGTGTGCTGTCTGTATTACCCAGTTCATTCTACTTTTAGATCATCTTCAGACTTCCGCCCCCTTTCACCTCGGTCCGTTCTCCACCACCAGTTCTTCTGCCATCACCACCACCACCACCGCCAGTGCGTACGCCATCACCATCACCATCACCTTCTATGATCTGTAATTTCACAAACCTTTGAGATGTCGTGAATTGCTGATCTCCAATGCAATCCCTCATTTCACGGAAATGTGTTCCATTTAGATTGTCTGATCGATTGAACATTTTATAAAATTGAAATATATGATATGGCTGCAAGTGCACCTTCGTCGTACGAAGAAACCGTCAATAATAACTCGAGGAGTAGTAGTGAACGATGTTGCGATGAGAGCTACAGTCTTAGCGCTGACGTCAGCGAATCTGAAAGTTCTAGCAGTTTCTCTGGTCGCGGCTACAACTGCGGAGCTACTTCCAGTTCCTTGACATCCTCTCCACTCGGTGCTGCTTTCCGTACTGTTTCCGTCACCGATTCCATCTTCCCGCCAACGCCGTTCGCCTTCCCGCTGTCTAGCGGAAAGGATGACGTGATAGGTTGGGAAAAGAAGCAGCATAGGAAACAACATGATACCGATTTATCTGGTCAGTCTCCATTTCTTTCTGTAGGTTCATTATTATTTTGATTGCTGATTGTGATGTGATTTTTTGATATAAATTGCAAATACACTGTCACTCTATGTTTATAGGGGACAAACAAATTGATCACACATTTATACGGACATTACTGTTTGCGTTTCTCTCTCGGCATCTATATTTTCATATCGATTGAGCCATTAGTTTGACCAGTGATTTGGGGTTTTTTACTTTTTATACAACTCGAGATGAATTCGTATATCTATCCGTTGTTATACTCGGAGACAAATTTCTGTATTTGGCCTACTGCTACTTGTTTATTAGATCCAAGAACATCCCCCCTAATTGATGTCAGTGAGTTTATCTTAATCTCATCTGCAACTTTTCATGGTTTACAGAGATCGACATGATGAAGGAACGTTTTGCTAAGCTTCTTCTCGGAGAAGACATGTCTGGAGGTGGCAAAGGAGTTTGCACTGCCCTAGCAATCTCAAATGCCATAACAAATCTATCTGGTCAGTGGATTTTCTCTTCTTCTCTGCTAAACCACCTAATCTATTACCCTTTTCTTATTGGAATCTGTAAATGATTGAAAAACAATAGCATCCGTGTTTGGAGAATTATGGAGGCTGGAGCCATTGGCGCCACAGAAGAAGGTAATGTGGCAAAGGGAAATGGAATGGCTTTTATCAGTAAGTGATGCCATTGTAGATCTTGTCCCTTCAATCCAACACTTCCCTGGTGGAGGAACATATGAAGTTATGGTCCCACATCCACGATCCGATATGCATATGAATCTCCCTGCATTGAAAAAGCTGGATGCTATGTTAATTTGTATGCTTGATGGGTTTCGCGATAGGGAGTTCTGTTATGTTGATCGTGGGATAGTCTTAGCTGAAGCTGAGACTTGTGATACTCATGCATATCCATCAAGTGTTTCAGCAGCAAGACCTTCAGTTAGGCAGGAAGAAAAATGGTGGTTACCTTATCCCAAAGTTCCTTCAAAAGGGTTATCAGAGGATGCCAGAAAGAAGCTGCACCAATGCAGGGATTGTGCAAACCAGATACTTAAAGCAGCCTTGGCCATAAATAGCAATGTACTTTCTGAAATGGAAATCCCAAGTGCTTACTTGGAAACATTACCTAAGGTATAGTTTTCTAATTATTATTATTATTATTATTTTTTTTTGTAAAGATTAAAAAATTGTTGTGGTGCAGAATGGAAAAGAGTGTTTGGGTGAAATCATCTATCGATACATAAGTGCAGACAAATTCTCCCCTGAATGTCTTCTTGATTGCCTTGATTTGTCATCAGAGCACCATACTCTTGAAGTAGCCAATCGTATTGAAGCAGCCATTCATGCATGGAGACTAAAAGAGTATAAAAAACATCCAAAAAGCAAACGTTCATCTTCATCATGGAGTAAAAAAGTGAAGGGTCTACTTGCTGATAATGATAAGAACAATTCTCTAGCACAAAGAGCAGAAACCCTTCTACATAGCTTAAGACGCCGCTTTCCTGGGCTTCCACAAACTTCCTTGGATATGTCCAAGATTCAATATAACAGGGTATGTTAATTACTAATTATTTAAACATAATAGTAGTAATAGTAATATGAAAAATAAGTAAACAAGGATGATGGTTATATGATGTTTTTTGTAGGATGTTGGGCAGTCGATTCTAGAAAGCTACTCAAGGGTGACTGAAAGTTTGGCGTTTAACATAATGGCAAGAATTGATGATGTCATCTTTGTAGATGATGATGCTTGTGTTGTTTCGGAATCTTTGTCGATTTTCAATAAAAGAGGAGGTTTAGGAGGGACACCTGTCCAAAAGCGAATGTCCCCGAGTCCGTTTTCAATCCAACACTCATCGCCATTTGCCACTCCAACATTCTGTTTATCGCCTGCTGAAACAGACAGGCCATGGACATATGCTGCTGGAAAAGCAACTGTTAATGCTCCAGAGCGTCATTGAGTTTTTCAGCACCTGTTTTTGTTTAATTATGAGTAGTAGAGATTCTAATGTAATCACTTTTGATATGATTACCATTAATAAAAGAGTTGGGAGCATCTAAAGTAGTTTGGTTGTTGGTTGTTGGTTGGTACCAGACAAATAGATACCTAATTTCATAATTTGGCTTCAACGACCTTGACACCAAAAAATGTTATTAATAATTTTTTTTTTTTTTTTTTTTTTGGTAAGAAGTATTGAATCCGCCATAGTAATCAAAGGTTTTAAGTGGATGGAAAATCATTTGTTGTTTTGGATCTTTTTGCAATTCCTTCTTAAATTAATAATCATGTTTCAATTTTTTTGCAATTTGTTTAACGCTATGAAAATGCTTCTATACACGAGGGTGGCAATAACCGTTTAACACATGAAAATTTTGTATTTATAGGTATGTTCAGCAAATATACCTAAAAGGTATAGCTTTTATTCGTTGTATAAGTTTTTACTTTTTATAAAAAATAATTATAAATTTTTTGGAATATATATTTTTAAATAAAATGGCATTCGATAAAAATGTGATTTTTTAGGAGCAAACCTTTTAATTTTGTTTTACTACGCAGAGAGTCAGAGACTCTTCTTTAAAAAGGATTACCAAGTTTTTGTTTTAAGCTCTCTACTCCCAAATAAAATTTTAATTGGAGGTTTTTTTTTTTTTTTTTTTTTCAAAAATAAAATATTCAAACTCCTAAAACCTTATTGCCAAACACACGTGGTGCATGAATAATGAATTGCTGCAATCATATACTTGATAAGTTGATTCAACGGTTGTTGAGTGGTGAAGATGAATAGCATACAATAATAGCATTTGAAAATAAAATAAACATGATAAAAAAATATTTATAATTTAAGTTATGTTGAATGGAAGAATTGTTGTATAAAATCACGGTCTCACAATTATTTTTGAGAAATTAAAAACATAAACTGATTTAGAATTTTTATTTTTTAAAAAAAATATTAATGTTATTGAATATTTTATGAATAAAAATAGATTGAACACAAAAAAAAAAAACACCCTTTGATCGTTAAAGCCTTTAACGATTAAAAGTTATTTGTTTCTTCAATAAGAAATAGTCAAATAGATTATAAATAATTTGTAGAAAAAAGGCCCAATTCCTTTCCTTTAACTTAAAGGAAAGGAATTGGGCCTTTTTTCTACAAATTATTTATAATCTATTTGACTATTTCTTATTGAAGAAACAAAGAAATTTTACCTAGTTTAATAAAATAAATAATTTATATTTTTTCAGATTTTATCATACGAATACAATGAATGATACATGTTGATTATCATTTTTTTTTCATATTATATTCTAAAATTATTTTGCAAATTGGTTAGATAGCTAAACAAAGATAGAAATAATAATAGTATTAGATTATAGAATTAGATTATAGAATAAGATTCTACATTAAAGTCTTAAGATTACATTGAACCAAAAGATTCCACATTGTCTACTTAAACTGCACGCGACTCGAACTGATATTAATGAACAACTATATAAAATCATCAATAACATAATATTCCAATAATTAGGAATCAATAGATAATCATATTTAAATAAGAGTTGCATTAAAAAAAAAGACATGTATGCATGTAGGTTCCAGTTTCTCTTTTGTGAGGCAAAAAATCTTTAATTAATGTTTTTTTTTTTTTTCCTCCTGAAATTTCTGATATTTTGTATTAATCACAAAAAGTTCAAGAAAAGGACCACATCTACAAGCTTCTTCGTAATTTCGTAGCAAATAAAATAATTAGAAGATTACCAAACATTTTTGTTAAAATCAAATTAAAGAATTTTATAATTTATCACATGTTCTTTTTGGTTTTTGTTTTGTAATTTGTGTGAATGAAACCTCTCCATTTCATGATTTGTTTTCATTATCATTCATGTAAAAATGGCAGACTGGTCTCAACTTCCGAGAGAGCTTCTTGATCTCATATCCAAACACCTCAACTCCGAGACCGATCTTGTCCGTTTCCGATCTGTTTGCACCTCCTGGCGATCCTCCATACAACTCTTCACTTCCCGTTTTCCGATTCTCCCAAAAACCGGAATCTCCGATTCCACCTGGGGTTTCTGCCTCTCCAAACGGACCATCTTCCGTGTCGAGTTAGCTGATCCCGATTCTGATTCTCAACAAACCCACGTTCCATGGCTAATCAAGGTCGAAAGAGACAAACCCCCAAAAACTCATCTCATGAATCCGTTAACTGGATCCGATTTCATCCCCCTCTTGCCTAATTTCCCTAGATCCCTTGATTTGTTGAATTTCAGGGTTACGGAATTAGGCCAAGAGTATGTCTTAAAGTACATTAATTATCGTCCTCATGCGAATTCAATTGGGGATTCCGTAACCCTTTATATGGAGAAGGTTGCGTTCTGTAGGTCGGGGGTTAATGGGTTCATGTTATTGACGATTCACACTAGTGGAAGATTGGCTCTGTTGAAAATCGGAGAGAAGAAATGGAACATAATCAACGATCTGCCGTCGCCTTACGACGACGTTATATTCTATAAAGGGGAGTTCTACGCTGTGGATATCACCGGCAGGACTGTTGTTCTGGTTATGGATGCAGAGACGACACTGAAGGTCATAGCGAATTCTGTGTTCGGCGGGGATAAGAAGTTTCTGTTGGAATCCATGGGGGAATTGTTCATGGTTGATAAGTTTTTGAGCGTTGGACCTGACAATGATTTCGATTATGATGATGACAACGAGTTTTATGAAGATTTCGATTGTTTCATGAGTGAAAGAACTGTGAAACTTGAGGTGTACAAGTTGGATCACGAAGAACAGAGGTGGATCGAGGTGAAAAGTTTGGGTGATCGAATGCTGTTTATAGGCGATAATTGTGGGTTTTCAGCTTCTGCTTCTGATTTCCCTGGATGCAAAGGTAATTGTGTGTTCTTCACTGGGCTAAGTAGGGAAGATGATGGTTTGATGAAGAATCGTGGTGTGGGTGTGTTTGATTTGGAGAGTGGTAGCATTGGGCCGATTGCTAATAATTCTGCTAACTCTCAGCTCTTTTGGCCTCCCCCTCCATGGCTTCATTCGAATCCGGTGGCTTTAGAAGTAAGTCTTCCCATTTTTACCATATTTGTTTCACCATTAATCTTTATATCTATCTCGTTTTCATGGAAGTAGAAGTTCGAATAAAAAATCATTATTTTTCCCTCCATTTTGGCACAGAATTGGTTAAGGTGCTAAGTTTTTGATATGATGCATGTTTGAAATTGCAGGATGGATTGAATCATCTTAACATCTAATTGGATTCGAGCAAAGACAGAAGTCGAAAAATTAAAGTGTACATATGCTCTTCATGGTTTCGTTAGCATCTAAATTTCGACTAATGAAAAGAAATTTTAATGTTTGACCTTTTTTTTTTCTTTCTTTCTTTACAATAATTCGTTGTTTTTGGTTTATGTTGCTGCTTGTTCGTTATGGTATTACATTGCTTTTGGGTGTATGTTTTTGGTTCAAGAAAATCAATTATTTGTTGTGGTTATTTTATGTAGGAGTTTGAACTTGTTTTTTTTTCTGCATAATCGGGTAGAATCTAGGTTTTGTGAATAGGATGATTTGGGAACGTAATGATATCTTCGAGTGTGTGGAATTGATTCAATTGCACCAAACCTCTTCTTCCTATGGTTGTAGTGGAAAGAGATTTTTTGGATGAATTCACTGTGAAAAAGTGACCTGATGCTCAACTTGATGTTAATTGTTGAGGATAGTTAGAAATATTAATTTAACAGAAGATGAAGGGGATAGAGTAATATAATTGATAACAGAGGTTCGATGGTGAAGGAGACAGCTCGCTCTAACGTTGTGATTATTTGATTATGCGAAGAGGCTACAAGGGCTTTTCAGTAAATACCGCCTCGTTAATTTTGTTCCACGCTTTTGAAGGACACTAGAATTCTACAAAATTGTCTCATTTGAATTATTGGGTATCTTGTTTTTGTTCCAGGTAGATGCTACTCAAAAGGATATTGTTCTGTTTTGTTTCGCCCCCTCTCACCTTACCAAACGCGTATTAAAGATTGACAACATGAGATTAGATAACTTGGGGTATCATCATCTTGGATAGTATTTTTGATATGTGATATGCTATTAGAAGTTTAAAACTTCAATAGACATTTAAAAGTGAACTCTCTTTTTCATAAATTTTTGGATGAGAAGATCCATTAATAGACATAGAAAATAAAGGCTGAAAGACTACATGCACCTAATATTGATGCAGCTTCATTAATTATCTCAAGCTCGGTAGTGTAGAATGGGGAGACCAAAGGACGCCTGGACGGAAGTTCGTCGGAGACAGAGTGAATCCGGCAGGAAGCGACTGGAAAATTCAAGCACTATGTTTGTCTCCAACTTTCCTGATGGGACTCGGTAAGGAGACTATTAAAAAGATCTTTTCTGGATATGGCGACATCTCGGATGTTTATATGGCGACAAAGAAGGATATACACCGGAAGAACTTTGCTTTTGTCAGGTTTAAAGGAGTGGATGACGAGATGAGGCTAGAGTATTCCCTTCAAGGTATCAAATGTATGGGGTCAAGGTTGGAGGTAAACGTGGCTAGGTTTGAAAGGAAAGAAGGGCCAACGAAAAAGCGGAACATAGTCGGAAACTGGCCAAATCCCCCACGAAAATCTACAGACTCTTTCTGTGATGGCAGAACCTTTGCAACAGTGACATCAAGGGTTCAACAAGACCTGCCTCCCCCCCCCCCCCCCCCCCCCCCCCCCCCCCGGTGTTAACAAACAAACCTATTAATCTAGAGACCGACACCTTCTGGGCACAATGGATACTTGGTCAATTAACTCTGATCGGGGCTGTTCGTAGCATAGAGCATCTAAGGAATTTACCGTTGAAGTACAGGTTGGGCCAAGACGGTGCTTATGGAATGAAATACATGGGAGGACTGTCAGTCGGTATTCAGAAACCTAGTCGACGTCAAGGAGTTCCTTCGTGACGAAAAACAATGGGGTAAATGGTTCAGTGAATTCAAGACCGGAAGCTCTTACGGTGGGAATCTGGAAAGGATTACATGGTTGAAAGTAATTTGACTTCCTCTACACATGTGGAGTGAAGAAAATTTTACTCGAATCGTACTGAGTATAGGTCAGCTCATTGGACCCATGGAGATCCCGTTGAATTTGCAGGATGTTTCGCATGGCAAGATTTGCATCCTAACAGACAAGAAGACAAAAATTAACGAGGAGGTGTTGGTGGAATCAAATGGGAACATTCAAAAGGTGGGGCTTGTTGAATACGATTTCGATTGGTCACCATTCCCTGCAGGACCTTGGATCAGTTTGGCCTTTATCGATGATGAAGATGATAACCTGGTGATAGGTGATACTTTGGATGATGATAACGCGAGCAAAGGACCAGAAGAAGTCGAGTTAGAAGAAGGGTAGATACGACACGATGGGTGTATTGGGGGCGCACGAATGACATCCTCGGAGCCGATGGCGGTTGATGACGGGCCTTCGCCGAAAAACAGGTGTCAGATGAGCGAAGCACAGGGACCGGAAGTTGGTTCGCCGGTGGAGGCCTCAAGGAATGGGGAAGATCAATCGTTCCCTACCATTAATGGTTAGCGGGAAGGAACAATCTTCGAATTTAATGTAGAGTCGGCTAAGGATGATGGTAAAAGCGAGGTTCCTGTGGAGACGAACATGGGGTCAAAAATTGACTTGGTTAAAGCTGGATGTTTTGGGCCGTTTTCAAATGGGCTAATTAATATTGGGGGTAGGAAACTTCCTAATTCGTTTGGGTCTGTTTAGAACACGGAAGGAGAATTAACTTCGGATACAGACCTCATAATTGATGAATCACTCACGAAGAAGAGGCGTTATTCTTCCCCTTCTCAAATTGACTTGAATAATAATCCTAATGGTTCTCTCTCCTCTAGTCTCGATCATGCGGAGGAAATGGCTACTATGGAATTAAATTGCCAGTCTCTTCCCATGGATATGGGCGACAAGAATCATGGGAGGTCATAAAGAAACGAGATAGACTTAACAATTGAGATTGGCAAGTTGGTTGACGTAGACATTGAAGTCGGGAACGAGATTTTAGAAGAGGTCATGGGAATAGAAGGCCCCGGTTGAAAAGAGAAGATTATGGGAAGAAGTAGCTCAAATTAAATCAAATAGAGTGTCAATGTGGATTTTTACTGGAGATTTTAACACAGTCAGGAACAAGGAGGAGCGAATAAACTCGAGATTTTGTCATTTATCCGCGAATGATTTCAACCAATTCATCAGTTCAAACACTTTATTTGATTTGAGAATGGGAGGCTCAAAATTCACCTACTTTAGACCTGAAGATGGAGGGAAGTTGAGCAAACTGGACAAATTTCTGGTTTGTGACCAATTTATGGAGACCTTTCCTAGAACATCGGTGACGGTCCTTCCTAGAGATTTGTCGGATCATTGTCCAATTGTGATGAAAACGGATTGCGAGGATTTTGGCCCGAGACCATTTAGATTTTTCAATTCTTGGATGTATCGCAGGGGATTTCACGAAGTGGTGTCAAGAGCGTGGGCGGAGTTTTGGGGGATTTGGATGTGCTGATTCTTTTCTACCTGCTAAACTCCGATTCCTTAAAGCAGAAATAAAGAAATGGCGAGACTCCAATTTTGCCAAAGAAAATGGGGAGTTAATTGAGTGCAGGAGTAAAGTAGCACAAATTGATTTAAATGCGGAGTTGAGATCACTGCTGGTGCATGAAATTGGGAACAGATCAAAATATCTGAGTAGAATTACTGAAATTGAAAAAGCGAGAGCCATGGACATGAAGCTATCCTTAAATGACTATAGACCAATAAGCCTTATTGGTGCTTTATACAAGATTGTTGCAAAAGCCTTGGCGAATCGGGTGAAAGAATGTATCAGTAGTTGTATCGATGAGGTGCAATTGTAACGCCCGTAGATCCGGGCTAGTCAATTTAGAGACGATAAGCATCAAAAATGACTTTTGATGGAAGATTATTTAGAAGGATTAATCTTAACCAAGTTGTAGTATATGTCTCAAGGTTTCCGAAAATATAAAGAACGCCGAAATCCGAGTTATAACGAAGAAGTTATGACATGTCGAAGTTTCGCGACAGAACCGGCACAACACAGCGCGGCGTAAATAGTGAATTTACGTTAGAGCGATATTTGGCCTTAGCGATCTAAACGAAAGTCGTAGAATACGTTAAATCGAGAGCGTGCGTGAAAAGAACGCCCAAATCTGACTTCGTATGAGAAAGTTATGATTTTTCGAAGTTTCGGCTTAGCAGTGTACAACCCGAAGTTCGAATATGAGATCGAGCGAGATTTAGCCGAAACAATCTAAACGAGAATTGAAGATCTCGTTGATAGTAGTCCAACGGTAAAAAGACAGACGAAAACGGAATTCAGATGAAGGAGTTATGAATTTATAACGGAGTTTTCCTGTCCCGGCCTACTAAAAATAATATAATAAAAATAAAATCAAAATTAGCCAACGGAGTCTAAACGAGAGTTGTAGATCATAATCTCACCTACGCGTGGATATAAAGAACGTCGAAAACGAAGCTCGTATGCGAAAGTTATGAATTTCTGAAGTTCGAGGCGTGAACCCCAAGGCTGTGTCAGAGCTCACGAGGTGAGCATATGTGGCTCACGAGGTGAGTCAGTTCACGAGGTGAGCATTAGAAACTCACGAGGTGAACAGATGATGGACGTCTTCCAGGGCAAGTGGCCATGACGAACGCAATGACGTATCGAGCTCACGATGTGAATATTAGAAACTCACGAGGTGAGCTAGTTCACGAGGTGAATATTAGAAACTCACGAGGTGAACTCAGAAAATTCACCCTATAAATAGAAATCGAGGGTCAGCCGATTTTGGTTGCTCATCTCTTACTCTCCCACTCCCGATACTCTCTCTAAGCCCTATTTTAACCCCCCCCCCCCCCCCCCCGAAGCCCCTGTATCATCCCGAGACCCGAAGCGAGTCCCGAAGCCCCGAAGATCCCGAGAAGTGCAATTCTCGAGCCGAAGCTCTGCCAGCGAGAAGCCAATTTTTGTGAAGATCTTCCAGATCTACCGAAGAGCTACTACTCTTAGAGCCGTAGTGTTGTCCGATCATCTTCTGATCAAGTGAGTGTATAGTTACTTTCTTTTAACGCATAAATATTAAGTATTTGCTATGAAATACGTGTTATGTGTTTATATATATATATATATATATATATATATATATATATATATATATATATATATATATATATATATATATATATATATTGTTGTTTATATGTGTGAGTGTATAGTCCCTTTCATAAACACGATTTTAATACAAGTATTGTTTGAATGTATTAAGTATATGTTTTGGATGAGTGTGTAGTCACTTTCTTCTAACATATAAGTATTAAATATTTGCTACTAAATACGTGTTATGTGTTTTTATATTGTTGTTTATTTGAGATAAGCGTGGAATGGATGTTTTATATAGGTTTTAAATCAGTTAAACTGTATATGTATGTTATATCTACAAATATGTTGGGTAGAACATGGGTAGACGAATTAGTTGGTGTGTGATGACGGATGAGTTTGAGGATGAGACGAAAAACGAACCTTGGTAGCTATGGATTTAGTACCGTATAGACAAACGTTGGTAGCTATGGACTTAGTACCTACACTGGTAGCTATGGATTTAGTACTGTAAAGATAAACCTCGGTAGCTATGGATTTAGTACTGTATAGATGAACCTTGGTAGCTATGGATTTAGTACTGTATAGATGAACCTTGGCAGCTATGGATTTAGTACCGTATAAACGAACCTTGGTAGCTATGGATTTAGTACCGTATAGACGAACGCTGGTAGCTATGGATTTAGTACTGTAAAGATAAACCTCGGTAGCTATGGATTTAGTACTGTATAGATGAACCTTGGTAGCTATGGATTTAGTACCGTATAGACGAACGCTGGTAGCTATGGATTTAGTACTGATAGATAGACGATGATAGCTATGGAATTAGTGCCTAATAAAGAATCCTGGCAGTTATTATCTTAGTGCCTAATAAAGAATCCTGGCAGCTATTGTCTTAGTGCCAAATAAAGAATCCTGGCAGCTATTGTCTTAGTGCCTAATACGGAGTGAACGAATAGATGACTCTTAGGGTAGACCCTTAAGAGTAAGGAAGATAATGGGGATGGGTAATTGGGTTGATTGTTTGATGATTGAATATAATAATTATATTATTGTGGGTTGAAAACCCTATATGCTCACCAGGCTCCCAAGCCTGACCCACTCAGTTTTCTTTGCATTACAGGTAATGGCACAAGAGTATAAGTTGGTGGACTTGACGAGAGATTTTGGATTATAGATCAGTAGTTATAAATGACTGTTGTAAGGTCTATTTTATACTGTTTATGCTTTTGGTCTGTATCGGAACATGACATCCCGAGATTTTATTATTTAATGAAAATACATTTCTTTAAAGAAATGTTTTGATAAATTCTTATCACATTTTGTTTTGGGAACAAATTCCGCAACTGATTTCTTTAAAAGATTACTCTGATTTTAAAAACAAAGCATAAACAAATCGGTCTTTTCTGGCCGTGAAATTGGGGATGTCACAGCAATCGACATTTGTGGAAGGAAGGAGTATCCTAGAGGGTCCTTTGATCGTAAATGAATTATGCTCGTGGGTAAAAAGAAGCGACCGAAAGATGTTATTATTTAAGGCAGATTTCAATAAGGCGTTTGACTCGGTAAACTGGGAGTATCTTGAATCGATAATGGAACAACTGAACTTCGGATCAAATTGGAGAAGATGGAGAAAAAGGTGTCTAGAATCCGCTAGAGCCTCGGTATTGGTCAATGGTAGTCCGACGATGTAGTTTTCTATGTCCAAAGGAGTGAGGCAGGGCGACCCGTTATCACCTTTCCTCTTTATATTGGCAATGGAAGGCCTAAACGTTATGATGGAGGCGGCCACAGAAAAAGGGGTGTTTGATGGAGTTCCCATTCTCAACTCTAACATTTCTATTTCTCATTTGTTTTATGCAGACGATGCTTTATTTATTGGAGACTGGTCAAAGAAAAACATGTCCAATTTGGCTAGAATCCTGAGATGTTTCCATGTCGTATCCGGATTGAAAGTAAACTTCAACAAGTCAAAGGTATTCGGTGTTGGTGTAGCACACTCGGAGGTATGCAGTTGGGCAAACCCATTGGGTTGTGCCCCATCATCCCTTCCATTCACCTATCTTGGGGTTCCAATTGGAGAAAATATGAACATGAAAAAAGCCTGGAAGCCGATTGTAGATAAATTCCGTTCCAAACCCTCAATGTGGAAGGCTAAGACTCTGAGTTTTAGTGGAAGGATGACTTTGGCGAAATCAGTTCTAGGAAATCTCCCTACGTTCTACTTCTCTCTGTTCGCGGCCCCAACAGGTGTAATTGAAGAATTAGAAAAGATCCAAAGACAATTCATATGGGGAGGAGGAGCCGAAAAGGAAACAGTTCATTGGGTTAATTGGGATAGAATGAAGGCTCCAAAGGAAGTAGGAGGGGCAGGTTTGGGCTCTCTTAGAAATCTGAATTTGGCCCTGCTAGCAAAATGGTGGTGGAAGTTCAAATCAAGACCACAATCTTTTTGGGCTCAAATCATTATGGGGATTCATAATCACACAAACCGACCTTGGTACTGTTTTTCAAAACATAAGGTGAACGGGGTCTGTTCAGGCATTGATAGGGTGAAGAACGGCTTATGGAAACTAAATATGGACGCGAAGGATATCTTATACTCAAATGATAGGGGAATATCATGGAGATTTGATTTCGTGGTGGATGGGACCTTTAATGTGGCTAAACTTCGAAGTCGACTGGATATGGCGTCACATCCAATTAGTGATGAAGAGTTTTGGTGGCTGAACTCAGCCCCAAAAAAAGTAGTGAGTTTTATATGGAGTGCGAAACAGGGTCGGATTCCATCGGCAGACGAGCTATAAAAAAGGAACATCCTAGTACCTTCCACAATGTGCGGGATGTGTAGGAACACTGTGGAAACGACAAATCACATTCTCACATCTTGTCCCTTGGAGAGAGACACGATAAACTTGGTGCTCAGTTGGTGTGGCCTTCCAGGCAGACAGTTTTCAAGTGTTAATGAAGTCTTAGATTTTGCCCGGACTTGGGGTCATTGCCCAAAGAAGAAGGAGATGTTGGCTTGTATCCTATATGGAGCACTGTGGAGTCTTTGGAAGGAGAGGAATGATCGGATATTCAGAGGTGTGACTTCGAAACCGGCGAAGATTCTGGATTCTATTAAAATTATTGTTTTTACTTGGCGGAAATATAGGAAGCATAGAGGTGATAGCGTCGATTGGGATAAGTGGTGTATGTCACCTATGAGTTGTATATAATTGGGCTATATCTTGTTGTTTATGCTTCCTTTGTAAGATGTATGTTTTCGGTCCCTAGCATCTTGCTAGGGTCACCGTTTTAATATAATTGCCGGTTAAAAAAAACCTAATATGCCATTATTACACAATATTATTCACATATTGACGTAAAACTATCACACCACTATCCACTATCAATTATACACCAATACACTACTATTCTTACATAGTTACAATATATTATTACATACACGACTTCATATAAAACTGAATATATATTTTACATACATAATGCATATTTCACCACACTATATTATTACTTTTTGACTGGTAGTGGCAATTGATGGTGCTTGGTCTTATTGGGGTTTTAGTAACAATTGGATATTATGTTTGAAATAATATTTACATTTTACATTTGTTTCTTATGCCTATTGTTATCATATACTTTTTTACGATTAGTTTTACTGATAATTTTTTTTAAGTATTACTACGTTTTAGGCACATATTTTATTTTAAATGGTTTTCAAACTGTTTTTAAAGA